GGTCCTTTTTTGGCTACCTTAAGTATTAGATGCCGTATTATAATCGGGACCCAAAAAAGGGACCATAATTTTGACAGCTACCCATGTGCTTCCGATTAAGGCTTTTTTTCTTTCTCCTTGAAAGGCCGGGTCCTTGTGAGGGAGGTCCGGATCTCCATGCTGTCTAGGGTCTAGGGTTTGGGATGTAGACTCCGATTGGTCGTATAGTAAATACGTGAGAGTCCGGAATTCCGCATGACCTTAACATACTATGATATCATGGTTCCCCGCACATGAGGTGCATAGGGTCTTGCAGGCTTTGGAATATCGAGTGTAGGATGATCATATGAGGTCGTCTCGGTCTCTAACATGCAGATGGCAAGGAACAGTTTCTGAAGGGTCCGAGGATTCAAATATGATGGGCTTAGGTGCCCAAAGCTCTAAAGATTATAGTATGTTGTATCATGGTTTTCATATTTCAATCCTTTCGCCCTCAGGGTCCGACAATTGTTGGGAGGAGCTAGATACGGAATTTGCTTTTCATGTGCAATCTCTTCTCGGCTTCATACAGCCGAATTCTTTGACTTGGCCTCATAGCCCATATGCACAAATGCAAAGAATGACATGAAACGTAGCCCCTTCCTGAAACCTTATAATCCCCAACATAACTTTTAACTAGCGCCCTACACTGTAAATGTCTTGTGTTCCCTCCTAAGCAGCTACAATGTGAGCGTACCAGCGCGTACGGGGTGCAAAAGCACCATCCGGATTCGTGCCTGTATGCAGACCCTTCCGAAGGCGTTGCCGTGAGGCAAAGATGTCTCAGGGTTGCTGAGTGAGGGTTCAGGCGTAGCAGCGACGGATCCACATATATATATATATATAATAGATAAATGTATATGCAGATAGATGTAGACAAAGAACCTGTAAACCCCATACATTTTTTGTGGCGCGAGCCCTATATGTATCCCGTATCCCCCATACCACCCTAAAGTCGAAACTAATTGCCAATCTCGCTGCAATCAGCCATGTTTTTAATGCCCCCGCACCTGCTGCGGGGCTTTGGAACGTATGATTCGAGCTTACGCCTTACGGATCCATGTATCGCGGCTTAGGGTTGAGGGTTGTGATGATTACGCTGAACAAGCAAACAAAAGCTTCGGCATCAATTAGGGTTTAGGGTGTTTACTTTAGACACTGTAGGGGCCGCAACATCCAGAAATCGATTTGTATAGCCAAGTGACATGGAAGCAAGCTTTCTATCCGTTTTTATATGAACTGAATGTAGGGGCTTACAAGATTGGAATAGGTATATCCCGTGATAGCTACATGAGGGATATAAGGGATAGCACATTAGCCTTGGGACCGTAAGGATATGCAGATCAACGAAGGGAATGTGGACACACGGTGTACCACTAAAGGATTACACCAGGTAGTGTTGAGAAGCTCACACATATGCCCTAAACCCTAGCGAAGCCCAAACACCCTTAAAAACCTTGTCCTTGAGGCCTCAAAATCCAAGCTCTAAGACTTTGACCCCCTGAAACCTAAAACCCAAGACATAAAATACTTAATCCACTGAACCGTGTGACAGTGAAAAACTGAAGGGCCTCAGACCCTGTAAGTCCTGATCCCCAAGACCCCAGAAATGTTGCAGTGATTGGGTTCACTTCCTGGGGCCTCTTCCTGGGGCCTTGAAGTTACTAAGGGGCTACCGAACGTACTTATGAGGCGTGACAGTAGGGTTACAACGCGGTGCCTACGAGGCGAGAAATTGCTTCGTGCCTCCAGGCTCGATCAAAGCATGAGAGCACTTTTGAGCCTAATCTGGCCTTAGCGTTGTAGGATGGTCTTTCTCGGTGCCTTCAGGACTCAGGATCCAGGGTTTGAGCTACGTGGTAGTTTCGATACATGGGGTGACCCCAGTACTGACCCCAAAATAGAATCCTTATGATAGGACCGCAAAAAGGTACCCTGAATTTTGAGAAACCCCCACATAGTTTGTTGTGAGACTTGGGGTTTAGGACTCCACTGGGAATCAATAGCTTTTCACTGCAGACCCTCAGAGTTGAAGTCTTGGTTTAGGGTTTAGGGTTTAGGGTTTCCCAGGAAATCTTCTGGGGAATTATTGGGACACACAAATGGAAAGATCCTGTTCCCGAAAGCCTACGCCTTTCGCCGTAGACGTTTCAGATGCCGAGCGCTAAGAAGACCTCAATCCTTAAAGGGAACAGCTTGACCTGAACCCTCAACTCCCTAAAACCTAAATCCTCAACCCCCCAAACCCTAAATCAGCCTTTGTTCCTAAGTCGTAAGCCACATGCCACCTCGAGCTGCCTGAGGAACTCGCGAGTCCGGGCTCAGAGGTCATTGTATGCTTGTGGCTCGGTTGAGGCCATGGCGGTTGAGGTTTAGGGTTTAGAGGTTCATTTTGACACCCATCCATAGAGTAACTGCAAATCTTGAGCCCGAGCACAGAATGGCTTCAACCCGGCTGCTATTGCCTTTGGTCCAAGGCTCTAAGCCCCATGATGGATTCGTAGCACCGCATACTTCTAGGGTGCCATTTTGAGAAAGTCCTAGGCCCAAACACTATACCAAATCCACAACCTAAACGTTCAACCTTAACCCTAGAGCTTCAAACCTAAACCATAAACGCGAAACCCTAAATCTTAAACCCTAGACCTGGGAGCTAGATACCACGTCCGCAAGCCATGTGAGCCGTCCATGAGATCAGGCCCAAACTTGGGTGCAGGATTTGGCGTGTAGGATTTGGGGTTCAGGGCTCACAATACAGGGCCCTATGTAGGGATGCAGGGGGTTCGGGTATGTAGTCCCCCTACCTAAAATGGAACTCTCCAAAACGGCATTCTAAAGACAGCTTCTTCTTGTCAAAAACGGCCATCGTGAGGTTCCATGTTCGTGCAAGGCGGGCAAAGCCTATTAACTTGTGCCCCGGAATGTTGATACTCAGCCCCTCCCCCTGATAGCAACCTCCAGGTCATGTCCTGTAGCTCCCTATAATTTCTATTCTAGACCACACGCGTGTTTCGCAATATACCTAATACCTACCTAGACTAAGCTTGCTTCATGTCCATTCTGGGCATGTTTGAACGAGTTGCAATAGTTATATGAAGTCACCAAGGTTCCAATTGAGGACCTATTGCCTATAGCGAGATCCTATACGTTGTTGAAGATGAAGCACATTTCAAACTCTAATCCAGTATAGATCATAGCAGCGATCTTTGTTCATGGCGTCTCAACAACTTCTAAGAATTCTTAAGCCCAGCAATCCTTCAGCAGGGCCGAATATGGGAACCTGGAAGTCCCAAATTGTGGTCCTGGGTTCCATGTACAAGTATGATACAAGTTACTTCAATTAGACCTCAAAATGATAATGAAAATTTTGTAGGTCCCTCCAAGACAGAATCCAGTTTCCACTGCCTCCTCCATGAATGTTCTTTTCAATTTGATTCTCCGATTCAATGCTTGTTTAGGCCCAAAGCCTACGCCTAAATCATACAGCACCTACGCACCCTTCACCCTGAACCCTAAACCTATTTGAGCTATAGTCCGAACTCCTTAAAAGCGGGTTATATAGGGGATGATATACGGGACTATTAAGGGGGATGCTAGAAGTTTAGACAATGGCTCATTTGTTATTCGTGATTCTGGGGATTGCAGAGGGACTTTAGGTAGGGACAAGGTAGTCCTCAATGTAGAGTCAGAGATTTACGCCTATGGCTTATAGCCTTTTCTCAGAAGAAAGTAATCTTACTTGACTTGGCTCAACCAGGACGACCTACTGAAATGACACCGTGCAGAGGAGCATGTTCACATTAAGCCCGTTCACCTGTGCACCGTTTAGGGTCTAGGGTTAAGGGGTTCAGCATTTAGGGGTTTAGGGGTTCAGGCGATTAGGGTTGAGGGTGTAGGGTTTAGGAGTTTAGCATCTAAGGGGTTTAGGGTTTAGGGTTTAGGGGTTCAGGGTTCAGGGGTTCAGGTTTAGCGTTTAGGGCAGGGAGGTTGCCAAAGCGGGAAGTCTCCCACAAGCCTCCCATACCACAGGGGCCTGAAAAAATACCAATATGGGAGGTTTCCCAAAATTAGGGGTACCGTTTTTGGAGTCCCCATGCTAAGGATTAAAGTATTTGGGGGTTCACACTGGGGTCCCCGTATTTTGGGAAACTGTCATATTATGGTTCTAGGCCTAGGTTCCTTGTAATATGATATTGGCATGTATTCAGGCCGTTATATGACGGCTGGGGGGTCTTATGGGAATCCTGATGGGGGTATCCTGAAAACTACCCGTAGCTTGGTGGGACATCGTTAGTGGTTAAGGCTTAGGGTATAGCATGTAGGGTCTAGGGTTTAGGGACCTTTCTCCGGCTCGTGTAAAGAAAAGGCCACCCATATGAGGTGTAAAAAGGCTTCCTTGAAGGCTGCTCACCTGAAAGCTAGCCCAAAGAGTTGCGTTCCCTGGTTGTAGGAGTTTCTGTAAATTGGGGATAAGAACTCCCCTGCTAAGGGGTCGCAATTTTTTGGGGACCTCCCGTATGCAGGCTTGCATTAATGACTCATACTACCGACCCCTAGGTTTGGGCCTCACTTTTAATATCTGGCCCTATAGTAGCTTTCGCTTTCTTAGGCACAGTAACTTGTGCAACGGTCGAATGTGTGGATGGTTCCTGCATCTCCTTGACAGCAACGCCATCAAGTGGCTCAAAGAACTGTTTTCGGTTTTACATTGGGATAAGAAAAGAAAATGGAAACCGTTACATTCTACAGGGTTATATTGGTAGACATGGTTCTCATTGTCTGTATGGTCGTTAAACTGATTGTTCCCAATGTCACTACACTCGGTATCATTCTTGTTGTTACTTGCCTCTTACGCCTTACGTGGCGCCGGCTACTTTGTGAGTTGAGTCTGATTGTGCATGATGCCTACTCCAACCGCGCCAGATGAACCATCTGCCTTGGCAGTTGAATTTGAGCTTCTACGTGATGACCTCCTTGCCCAGTTTGAACGAGTAAATGATCGCTTGCACTTATTGGAGTCCAGGATGGACGGGCTCGTAGAGGAGAAGGCAGCGAGCCCAGGTGAGATCATCGCCTGTGCGATTGGGATTGGCGATGGTTCCCCTGTGGAATGCAATGAACCTACCCCGGAGACACAGCCCAACAGCGAAAAAGACCAGGTTGCAGCAGGAGCACTTGGGTCAGTAGGTGTCGGGTCGGACCCAACTAGCATCACCAGCTCACGGGTGAGCGTGCATGACGATCCAGACGACCAGGTGGGTATGGTTCCCTTTGCAGAAAGTGCCTGGACCTACCCAGTGGTCATCTGTTTAGTGAGAGCCGGCGTGGTGGAGGCTATCTTCGCTGTACTGCTTCTGGGTTGCTGTTAAGGAACTTAAATTAAGTTACCATAATGGGTATATATAGTAAATAATAGGGTTTCCCCGATATAGTAACTTAATTTAAGTTCCCTAACAGCAACCCAGGCTATTGCTGGTTAATCTCTTCATGCAGGTGGCATTCATGATCGTCATCTTGACCCCCGATTTCCTTCCGGAGGATATCGCAGAACAGATTCACTTCGCGAAGCGATGGCGCAGAAGCGTGGGATCAGTATGAAAAGCTGCATACGCTCTTTGTAGTACTCAATATCAAGACATTCGAACTTTCTGGTCTGATCTCATGAGTCCTAACCCCCAAACCCTACTCCCCAATGGATGACATGCCTTTACATAAGAGTTTCACAAAACAGGAGGGCCGTGCAGAACCCAAGGAATATAGGAATTGAGCGTTTTTAGGGATTCTGGGGGTCTCTAACAGGATTCAGAGGGCCTATTTCGAGAATTCCTCCCATGTGATAACATGTAACTATAGATATTGCAAGAACCCCAGAATCCCAGTAGTTATCGATGTAAAGTTCAAAGTTTAAATGACTAGCTAGGCAGACCCGTAGTCAATGCCTGTAATCTTTGATTTTGTTTTCCGTGTAATCTTCCATGAGTATCTGCAATCCCAAGCCCCCAACCCTCCACCCCCAGGTGGCCCATGACCAGCAAAACCTGGACTTAGCATCGACGAGTTTGGCCAGTCGAGTTTGCAATGGCGACGGCGGGAAGCATGTGGACTTGCGGGGTGTAGGGTTTAGGGCTTAGGGCCATCATAGGGGCTGTGATAGGAATTCTCAAGAACTTCGGGAAACAATAGAAATTTCTGGGCAATTAAATATTGTTGCCAGTATTACTTTGTAAGTTCTAGTACCCTTATCTAGCACCATCTTCGTTCATACAGCCATCAAAACAGGCCCGAGTTGCCCTGGCACCTTAAGCCCTAAGCGCTGAAACCTATGCCCTGAACTCAAAACCCCAAGCCAAAAGTTGTCAAACCTAAACCCTAGGTTTTGGGTGTAGGGTAATATTCCTGAACCTAATAAGGCCTAATAAGTCCTAATGAGGCTTATTAAGCCTTAATTGCATATGACTCCTATGTAACCCCTATATTGTAGGTGTTTCCATTTTCTTTTCCATTATCCCTCCCTAAACCCTAAACCCTAAACCCTAAACCCATATAATCCCTATATTACACCCAGGAACCCTTTGTAAGCCTGGACCAGGTGCGTTAATCGTATCAACTCGACAGGCATCGCTCCTTGAAAACATCGACAAATACATAGGCTTCTGGGCTACCTTAATGTTTAGGGTTTAGGGT